TTATCACGACCAGTTTCAGCTGTTTTTTTATGATATTCAGGTTCGGTATTTGGTTGGAGTTTTTCTTCGTGCGGCGGCTTTTTCTCAGAAGGATTCGAAGAGGATGGCGAATATACTTTCCACATACTAGATGACTATGGAAATTCTCTTCATGACATAACCAAATATTTAGATATTAAATTCGTTAATGGCGGTACAGGACCATTTTCAGTAAAAATTCCCCAAAATATCGACTGTGGCGAAGATAGCATCCTAAGCAAGCATGGTTCACTCGAAGTACGAGCATGTAAGTCCGGGGATAAAGTAGCAATAAACAAAAAGGGTACTGATTCTGGGCCTACTACTGGAAAACCTACATGTTAATTAAAGAATTTCAAACTTGTCATAAATATTTTGAAAATATTTGAACTTTTTTATATTTACACTATTGCTTTTATAACATTTCATCTTTCATGTTAAATATTTTATTTTCAATCTAGTAACAAATAAAAATGTTCATTTCAAATGTTGCAAAGGGTCAACTTTGAAGTCTTTACAAAATAATCCATTATATCGTTATATTATAAATTTTTATATTTAATCATTAGGTAAAGCCTATCATTAAATGGCGAGATATGGCAAACCTGTCATTCAATGCATAGGCGTTACACAAATTTGCAGTGCCTCGATTCTTGGTAAACATTTTATCTGACCATTTTTTTCATATATGGTGCCCTTAGCTTTAAATTTCTATAAAAAAATAATTTTACAAAAAAATGCTACTCCTCTTTTAAAAAGTTATCAAATGTAAAAATAATTCACAAGATTTGTTCTTGTCATTAAGAACAAAACTTGTGGTTTAAATTTAGATTTCAAGTTAAAACGATGGAATAGTAGCCTTTCAAAGTTTAGTTATTTTTTAAAAAACTGTAAAAAGGTAAACGTATATGGTTTTCTTTTTGACCAATCAAATTATCGGATGTAAACCATGTGATATATAAATTTTTATAGTATTGGAACTGACCAGAAAATTCTCTATTAAAGTTGGAACTTCAGGTGCCTGAAGTTACACCTAGCCCCTGAAATTAAATCATCCTGCACGTACTAGCTAGTGGTTTTAGGCAGGTGCCAACTTCAGGTACGTACGTTGTGAAGGGGTAGATCGTTGCTTGAAATAGGTTTTTCTATATTTGGTGGATCGGATACATATCGGGCT